GGGACCACGTGTCGCTGAGTTGTCGCATTTAGTGAGTGCCGGGCGTGCTAAAGGGGTGTTAAGTTCTCGCCGACGCTTGTCATGCGACTCCTGTAGACGCTGGCGATGTGCCTCCCAAGCTGCCATCGCCGCGTCGGAGGTGTTGCCTTGCCTGTGCTCTCCATTGCCACTTTCGACCACTTCTCTAGTGGCCACGCCTAGGTCGGTATCGAGGCGTTGCCTCTTGGTCAGATTGTCGTGGAGGCACCTAGTGACTTTGTCGCACATGCCGCGGACGAGTGGTCCCTCCTGCTGCTCCGTAGGCTCTCTCCCCCTCTTGTGCCCGGCTATTGGGCAGGTCGCCTTTGAAGTCATCGTTGTCATTCCTTCCTCCGTGCTTCCGGTGGCCCATTTCGCCTTGCCGTCACGTCCTCCTCCCTCCCGGACCCCGGCATCCCCGGGGTCCGGGCTGTCTTCCATGGTTCCGCTGTGACGTCACGTGTCTCGATGTCGGGGCGTGGATCCCGCACCTGGGCAGCCGGTCTCAATGTGGGGGCGCTGATTTGCAGCGCCGGATCTGAGGCTCGTCCTAAACGGCGATTTCGCTGGCTGGCGCGCTGCAGAGCGTCCTAAGCGGCGATTTCGCTGGCTGGCGCGCTGCAGAGCGACCTAAGCGGCGATTTCGCTGGCTGGCGCGCTGCAGAGCGACCTAAGCGGCGATTTCGCTGGCTGGCGCGCTGCAGAGCGTCCTAGGCGGCGATTTCGCTGGCTGGCGCGCTGCAGAGCGTCCTAAGCGGCGATTTCGCTGGCTGGCGCGCTGCAGAGCGACCTAAGCGGCGATTTCGCTGGCTGGCGCGCTGCAGAGCGTCCTAGGCGGCGATTTCGCTGGCTGGCGCGCTGCAGAGCGTCCTAAGCGGCGATTTCGCTGGCTGGCGCGCTGCAGAGCGACCTAAGCGGCGATTTCGCTGGCTGGCGCGCTGCAGAGCGACCTAAGCGGCGATTTCGCTGGCTGGCGCGCTGCAGAGCGTCCTAAGCGGCGATTTCGCTGGCTGGCGCGCTGCAGAGCGACCTAAGCGGCGATTTCGCTGGCTGGCGCGCTGCAGAGCGACCTAAGCGGCGATTTCGCTGGCTGGCGCGCTGCAGAGCGACCTAAGCGGCGATTTCGCTGGCTGGCGCGCTGCAGAGCGACCTAAGCGGCGATTTCGCTGGCTGGCGCGCTGCAGAGCGACCTAAGCGGCGATTTCGCTGGCTGGCGCGCTGCAGAGCGACCTAAGCGGCGATTTCGCTGGCTGGCGCGCTGCAGAGCGACCTAAGCGGCGATTTCGCTGGCTGGCGCGCTGCAGAGCGTCCTAAGCGGCGATTTCGCTGACTTGCGCGCTGTAGAGCGACCTAAGCGGCGATTTCGCTGGCTGGCGCGCTGCAGAGCGTCCTAGGCGGATGGATTACCCTGATTTATCTGTGTTAATTGCAGGATGTTATTTGTTTATTCTGATTGTGCCACCCTGGTGAAGTTAATTAAGTTGCATTTTTAGTACTGCTGATGTAGTTTCACTTGTATGTAATTCTGTTGTACATGTTATTATGTAGTTTGAATGTTGTACTGTGGGCGCTTAGTCAAAATGCACTTGTCAAACCGCATGTTCAATTCCACGAATTCCGAACCGCATATACCCGAACCGCGCTCGAAGGTGATTGGCTCGTGACTCGTCCCAAATGTGTCCCCCAAATGTCATGGAAATGTCCAGGTCAGTCCCGAAAAAGACTTTCGAGTCAGTTCGAAAGAGTCCTGCGGGACGGTTTCAAGACTCTTTGAAACGTCACTACAGACTTCCTACAAGACAGTTGCGGGATGGGGGTGCAAAATGTCCCGTATGTCTCTTGCGGGACACTTTCGGGACGAATTTGGGACCTCGGAATTTTTTTTTTTTTTGGCAAAAATGGGACTGACGCTGAATTTTCCTTGCTCACAGGACGATGCCGCCAAAGAATTTCTCGGGCGAATAATGAATAGCATTGTGCTGTAGTGTCGCGTTCCGAAAGAAAAGCAGGTAGCGATGGTGTTGCGAGGCTTACGTGTGGGAAACTGGAGCGTGAGGACAAGAAAGGGAGATTGTAAGGTGTGAGTAAGGAGAATGAGGACCCAGTGTACAGTATTTATCGCGAACTGCTGCTGCGGGGGCGTGAGCTCGGAGAAATTGAGCGCACCGCGCGCTGCATCAGCGGGGGCAGCCGTGCGGCGGTGAGCGCTGACATGGCGTGCCAGAGCGGTGTGGGAAGGTACAGCTGGCCGGAAGTCTTTCACAGTTTGAGCGGAGCTGGCCAAGTCTACCGCTCTCTCAATATGAGTTAGGAAGGATTCACGCTAGGTCAATGCTGTGCAAAGGGTATTGCCGTGCTGGCGATGACGTGGCGACGCTAAAAACGAAAGTTGACAATTCCTGCATATCGATCAAACCATAAGATTTCAGGCTGTTATGTGTTTTAAAGCAACAGTATACTTTTGAAAGTTGGTTTATCAAAATCCTAAGGAACTTGAAGGTGGTAACCAAATAACAAGCCACAACCTCGTCCCAACCCCCCGACAAGTGCCCCTCACTCATGTTCAACTCCTAAGGATATGCAAAAGGAGACGGATTGACGGGACGGAAGTTTTGCACCACACCCGCCTAGGAAAGACAGTCACACATCGTAAGTAGGCCTCGCCACGTAAATAAAATTAGACTCCTACCATATAGACAAAGCGCGCTCCTTTTCCGCGCACGCTCGAACAGACGAAGTTTCATTCTCGAGTCCCCTCGCAGCCCGGTCTCGCTTCGCGACGGAACATGGCCATACTCGTCGCGTTCCGAGCGCCTGATCTCCAGGTCGTCGCCCAGATGCGGGAGTGTGCGCACGCGCCCCTGCATCCACTAGCTTAATTTGCGGTGAGAAGGGGGAAGCACGGCATCACTCGTCTCGCCTTACTCTTTCCTGCCCCTATCGCCTCGCGGTTCGCATTTTCCTCTCGCCTCCCCGCGCGTGCTCCTCTCGCATCCCCGCGCGCTCCTCTCGCTTTCCCTGCGCGGCGTCCTCACGCCTCTCCGCGCGCTGGACTCTCGCCTCCCCGCGCGGCCTCCTCTCGCCTCCCCGCACCTGCTCCTCTCGCCCCCCCTCGCTCTCCTAACGCCTCCACGCGCGTTCGACTCTCGCCTCCCCGCGCTCTCCTCTCGCCTCCCCGCGCGTCCTCCTCTCACCTCCCCGCGCTCTCCTTTCGCTCCCCGCGCGTGCGCCTCTCGCCTCCCCGCGCGTGCAACTCTGGCCTCCACGCGCGTCCTCCTCTCGCCTCCCCGCGCTCTCCTCTCGCGACCCGCGCATGCGCCTCTCACCTCCCCGCGCGTGCAAATCTCGCCTCCCCGCGCGTGCGAATCTCGCCTTCACGCGTGTCCTCCTTTCCCCTTCCTTCTCTTCTCATCTAGCCGCAATCGTCGCCCAGCCTCCACTCGCTGCCTCTCCTTGTCTCGCGGCGGCCTCCCTTCGCGAGCTGCACTCGAATAAGGCCCTCGGCCCTCTCTAACTCTCTTGCAACGGCTGTGCTTCCGCATCCCATCTGCACGCTCTCAAAAGCCCCCCTTGAACGCCCCCACTTCCCCACCTGTACAAGACGATGCCGCCAAAGAATTTCTCGGACGAATAATGAATAGCATTGTGCTGTAGTGTCGCGTTCCGAAAGAAAAGCAGGTAGCGATGGTGTTGCGAGGCTTACGTGTGGGAAACTGGAGTGTGAGGACAAGAAAGGGAGATTGTAAGGTGTGAGTAAGGAGAATGAGGACCCAGTGTACAGTATTTATCGCGAACTGCTGCTGCGGGGGCGTGAGCTCGGAGAAATTGAGCGCACCGCGCGCTGCATCAGCGGGGGCAGCCGTGCGGCGGTGAGCGCTGACATGGCGTGCCAGAGCGGTGTGGGAAGGTACAGCTGGCCGGAAGTCTTTCACAGTTTGAGCGGAGCTGGCCAAGTCTACCGCTCTCTCAATATGAGTTAGGAAGGATTCACGCTAGGTCAATGCTGTGCAAAGGGTATTGCCGTGCTGGCGATGACGTGGCGACGCTAAAAACGAAAGTTGACAATTCCTGCATATCGATCAAACCATAAGATTTCAGGCTGTTATGTGTTTTAAAGCAACAGTATACTTTTGAAAGTTGGTTTATCAAAATCCTAAGGAACTTGAAGGTGGTAACCAAATAACAAGCCACAACCTCGTCCCAACCCCCCGACAAGTGCCCCTCACTCATGTTCAACTCCTAAGGATATGCAAAAGGAGACGGATTGACGGGACGGAAGTTCTGCACCACACCCGCCTAGGAAAGACAGTCACACATCGTAAGTAGGCCTCGCCACGTAAATAAAATTAGACTCCTACCATATAGACAAAGCGCGCTCCTTTTCCGCGCACGCTCGAACAGACGAAGTTTCATTCTCGAGTCCCCTCGCAGCCCGGTCTCGCTTCGCGACGGAACATGGCCATACTCGTCGCGTTCCGAGCGCCTGATCTCCAGGTCGTCGCCCAGATGCGGGAGTGTGCGCACGCGCCCCTGCATCCACTAGCTTAATTTGCGGTGAGAAGGGGGAAGCACGGCATCACTCGTCTCGCCTTACTCTTTCCTGCCCCTATCGCCTCGCGGTTCGCATTTTCCTCTCGCCTCCCCGCGCGTGCTCCTCTCGCATCCCCGCGCGCTCCTCTCGCTTTCCCTGCGCGGCGTCCTCACGCCTCTCCGCGCGCTGGACTCTCGCCTCCCCGCGCGGCCTCCTCTCGCCTCCCCGCGCCTGCTCCTCTCGCCCCCCCGCGCTCTCCTAACGCCTCCACGCGCGTTCGACTCTCGCCTCCCCGCGCTCTCCTCTCGCCTCCCCGCGCGTCCTCCTCTCACCTCCCCGCGCTCTCCTCTCGCTCCCCGCGCGTGCGCCTCTCGCCTCCCCGCGCGTGCAACTCTGGCCTCCACACGCGTCCTCCTCTCGCCTCCCCGCGCTCTCCTCTCGCGACCCGCGCATGCGCCTCTCGCCTCCCCGCGCGTGCAAATCTCGCCTCCCCGCGCGTGCGAATCTCGCCTTCACGTGTGTCCTCCTTTCCCCTTCCTTCTCTTCTCATCTAGCCGCAATCGTCGCCCAGCCTCCACTCGCTGCCTCTCCTTGTCTCGCGGCGGCCTCCCTTCGCGAGCTGCACTGGAATAAGGCCCTCGGCCCGCTCTAACTCTCTTGCAACGGCTGTGCTTCCGCATCCCATCTGCACGCTCTCAAAAGCCCCCCTTGAACGCCCCCACTTCCCCACCTTGCCCTCGTTTCCCCACCTTGCACGCCCTCATTTTCTCCCTTGTACGCCTCATAATTCGCCCTTGCATGATCGCATTTCCCCCCCTCCTTGCCCTCAATTCTCCCCTGCTATGCCTTCTCCTCCACCACCCCCTCTCCTCTTCCCACCATGAGTTCTTCTCCTCCCGCCCCCCCTCTCCTCCTCCCACCATGCCTTCCCCTCCTCCCGTCACCCCCCTCCTCCTCCCGCCATGCCTTCTCCTCCTCCCGCCACCGCCTCTCCTCCTCCCACCATGCCTTCTCCTCCCGCCACCCCCTCTCCTCCTCCCGCCATGCCTTCTCCTCCTCCCGTCAACCCCTCTCCTCCTCCCACCATGCCTTCTCCTCCTCTCGCCACCCCCTCTCTTCCTCCCACCAGGCCTTCTCCTCCCGCCATGCCTTCTCCTCCTCCCGCCACCCCCTTTCCTCCTCCCACCATGCCTTCTCCGTATGCCACCCCCTCTCCTCCTCCCACCATCCTCTCTCCTTCCCCCGCCATGCCTTCTCCTCCTCTCGCCATTCCTTCCCCTCCTCACGCCACCCCCTCTCCTCCCCTCGCTATGCCTTCTCCTCCTGCCACCCCCTCTCCTCCTCCTGCCATGCCTTCTCCTCCTCTCACCATGCCTTCTCCTCCTCCCGACACCCTCCCTCCTCCCCTCGCCACCCCCTCTCCTCCTCCCGCCATGCCTTATCCTCCTCCCGCCATGCCTTCTCCTCCTCCCGCCATGCCTCCTCCTCCTCACGCCATGCCTTCTCCTCCCGCCACCCCTTCTCCTCCTCCCGCCATGCCTTCTCCTCCCCCCGCCATGCCTTCTCCTCCTCCTGCCATGCCTTCTTCTCTCGCCATGCCTTCTCCTCCTCCCGCTACCCCCTCTCCTCCTCCCACCATGCCTTCTCCGTATGCCATCCCCTCTCCTCCTCCCACCATCCTCTCTCCTCCTCCCACCATGCCTTCCCCTCCTCCCGCCACCCCTTCTCCTCTTCCTACCATGCCTTCTCCTCCCACCATGCCTTCTCCTCCTCCCGCCACCGCCTCTCCTCCTCCCGCCATGCCTTCTCCTCCCCCCACCATGCCTTCTCCTCCCCCCGCCATGCCTTCTCCTCCCACCATGCCTTCGCCTCATCTTGCCACGCCTTCTCCTCCCGCCACCCCCTCTCCTCCACCCACCATGCCTTCTCCGTCTCCTGCGATGCCTTTTCCTCCTCCCACCATGCCTCCTCCTCCCACCATGCCCTCTCCTCCTCCCACCATGCTGTCTCCGGCTCCCACCATGCCTTCTCCTCCTCCCGCCACCCCCTCTCCTCCACCCACCATCCCCTCTCCTCCTCCCGCCACCGCCTCTCCTCCTCCGCCCACCATGCCCTCTCCTCCTCCCACCATGCTGTCTCCGGCTCTTGCCATGCCTTCTCCTCCTCCCGCGACCCCCTCTCCTCCTCCTGCCATGCCTTCTCCTCCCACCATGCCTTCTCCTCCTCCCGCCACCACCTCTCCACCTCCCACCATGCCTTCTCCTCCCAACGCCATGCATTATCCTCCTCCTGCCATGCCTTCTCGTCCTCCTGCCATGCCTTCTCCTCCTCCTGCCATGCCTTCTCCTCCTCTCACCGTGCCTTCTCCTCCTCCCACCATGCCCTCTCCTCCTCCCGCCATGCCCTCTCCTCCCGCCATGCCCTCTCCTCCTCCCGCCACCCCCTCTCATCCTCTCACCATGTCTTATCCTCCTCCCGCCACCTCCTCTCCTCCTCCCACCATGCCTTCTCCGGAGCCTGCCAAGCCTTCTCCTCCTCCCACCATGCCTCCTCCTCCCACCATGCCTTCTCCTGCTCTCGCCATGCCTTCATTCACCCCCCGCAACCCCCGCTCCTCATCCCGCCATGCCTCCTCCTCCTCCCACCATCCCCTCTCCTCGCCCCGCCACCCCCTCTCCTCCTCCCACCATGCCTTCTCCTCCTTCCGCAACCCCCTCTCCTCCACCCACCATCCCCTCTCCTCCTCCCTCCACTGCCTCTCCTCCTCCGCCCACCATGCCTTCTCCTCCTCCCACCATGCTGTCTCCGGCTCTTGCCATGCCTTCTCCTCCTCCCGCGACCCCCTCTACTCCTCCTGCCATGCCTTCTCCTCCTCTCACCATGCATTCTCCTCCTCCTGCCATGCCTTCTCCTCCTCCCACCAGGCCTTCTCCTCCTCCCGCCACCCCCGCTCATCCTCTCACCATGTCCTCTCCTCCCACCAAACCTTCTCCTCCTCCCGCCACCTCCTCTCCTCCTCCCACCATGGCTTCTCCGGTTCCCGCAATGCCTTCTCCTCCTCCCACCATGCTTCCTCCTCCCACCATGCTTCCTCCTCCCACCATGCCTTCTCCTGCTCTCGCCATGCCTTCATTCACCCCCCGCAACCCCCTCCCCTCCTCATGCCATGCCTTCTCCTCCTCCCACCATGCCTTCTCCTCCACCCGCCACCGCCTCTCCTCCTCCTCCCACCATGCCTTCTCCTATCCTCCTCCCGCCACCCCCTCTCCTCCTCCTGCCATGCCTTCTCCTCCTCCTGCCATGCCTTCTCCTCCTGCCATGCCTCCTCCTCCCGCCATGCCTTCTCCTCCTCCCACCAGGCCTTCTCGTCCCGCCACCGCCTTCTCCTCTTGCCATGCCTTCTCCTCCCACCCTGCCTTCTCCTCCTCCCGCCACCCCCTCTCCTCCTCCCACCATGCCTCCCCCCCCTCCCGCCTTGCCTTCTCGTCCTCCTGCCACTCCTTCTCCTCCTCCCTCATCTCCCCCCTGCTTCCCACCATTTCCCCGCCTGCTTCCCCTATTTCCCCCCTCTGCTCCTCACTACCCATCTTCTCAACTTTCCCACCTCCGCTCTTTTTCCCCCTCTGCTTCTCTTCTTCCCCTCTTCTCCCCCCCGCTTTATGACACACCTCACCAGCCATGTCATCGTGGCAACATACTCCTCGGCGAAGGCTGACGCTTGGGTTCAGGGTTGGGGAGGAGGGTTCCGACGATGATGAGTAGGAGAGTGGTCGACGACGTGTGCAGGGGTCGATGGCCACGGCAAGTACGGGTGCCATTTCCGCCCATACTTGTTCGGTTGCCGCTAGCACAACGCATCCCACTCCAAGGGTTCGTGCGTGAAGAGTTGTGCGACCAACAGGATTGCTCCCGCAGGTTCAATATGCAAAAGAAAGTTGGTCAATTTCACAGTTTGAGGAGCATCATGCCAAGCAGTATCACGTTCTTCTCAAATGGGCTCGCCAATGGCTTGGATTGTCGGAGGGGGGGAGCGCGAGTGGTCAGGGATGTAGTGTGGCGAGCATATTGAGAGTGTGCTTGGGAAAAAACACGGATGAGGACTCTGAAGGTCAACCTATGACCGCTAAGAACCATCGTTTCCGTTGCTACATTCAGTACTCTGCCTTGTTAGGTGATAAGTCCTTTGCACATGTGACTTTGCCGTGGCTAATCCACGTCGTGATAGGATCGCTCTACCTTGAGGCAACGGACGAGGGTTACAAAGAGTGCAGTCAAGGTGATGTGGACTGGTTCAACCTGGAATGGGTCATCCCTAAAGAGATTGATTTTGGCATGAGGTCATTCGACAATTGTCAAGCAGGAGACACAGGAGTCTGCGATTTACTAACTGTTTGCTAGGGAGTATGTTTTATCGGTGATGACTTGCATGGGGGGGTCATATATGTTCCTCCCTTCCCTCTTTTGTTGGCCAAATGATAATAAGGTCAAGGAATTAGCCCTATCTGTGTGGTCAGGTCTGGCACTTGGCTATCATTTCTCGTTCCTCCTCTTCGCTTCTTGCCACGGGGGCGCGAGTTGCTCCAAGTGCCGCCACTATTAGTAAAAATGCAACCGCATGGCGTTCGCGTGTTTAGTGCAGCAGCATTGCACTTGTTGTCTCCAGCAGTGCACCACGAATGCTCCCTGGCTGGCAGTGCAGTGCTTGCTTACCCAAATGGTGCACAGAAATGCGCCTTTAGTGGGGAGGGGCAGTTGAGAGGTGGGCAGAGGTGGGGAAGAAAGTGAGAGTCGATCTGATGGGCAGGCAGGGGCACAGACGGGGGTGGGAGGGTGGGGGTGAATAGAGAAGGGCAGATTAATGTCGGAGAGTATGTTGTGAGCGAGGATAAGAGATGGGCAGAAGCACACATGGGATGAACGTGTGCGCAATTTATTAGCAATAGCAGAAACCACGAGCAGAAAGCAGCAACGTCCACACTCACTCACCTCATCATCAATCTTCTCCCAGAGGTCCGTCCATGCCCACCTCCTCCCCTGCAGCATACGTACCACTTTTCGTCCCTCTGTCATTCTCCTTTCCTCCTCCTCCCGCACCTCCTCTGCTCCGTTGTCCTCCTCTCTCGTCTCTCCATTCATCCCTTTCTCATTGTCCACCCGCCCGCTTCTCTCACCATCCTCTCCATCATTCCCTCACACACCTACGCAGGAGCGTGCATCCAAGCCTGCACCCGAGCCTAATTCCAAACCAATTCCTGGCACAACATTCAGGTCCGTGTGGGTCAGAGCAGAGGCTTGGTCAGGAGGGCAGACGATGGGGGCTGGAGTGAGGCTACCAGGCAGGGAAGGGGCAGAGAGAGGCTGCTGTGACTCTGGCGCCACAGCACCTTCGCGTGGGGGAGGCAGGTGAATGCGTGTGTGACATGCGGTGGGGAGGATGCTGGGGGTGCGGAAATAAGGCGGGCGGGGGAGGAGAGTGGTGGGAGCATGAGAGGTGAGGAGGACACAAGCCTGGCTCTGCTGCCACTGTCGCTGCTGCTGCCACTGACACTGCCACTGGCACTGCTGATGGTGACTGTTACTGCTGCTGATGTTGTTGTTGCTGCGGCGGCTGATGCGGTTGCTGATGATGCTAGCTTCTTTGCTTCTGCCATCGACAAGGCTGGTGCATCCTTGGTGGCCGTGAAGGAGATGTGTAGAGGCACGTTAAGCTCTGCATATGAGGGGGGGGAACAAGAGAGGGCAGTAGAGGATGGAGAAGGGGAGGAAGATGTGCGGAGGGAGATATGATGGGGCACGTTCAGTGGAGAGAGGAGAATGCAGGAGCAATGGAGAGGGGAAAGTGATGGGGCTCATTCACCCACCCTAAAAGCGGTTCCGATTGTACAGATGTGAGTTCTCCCCCCTTCTTTCTCAGCTTCCGTACCTTTCCACCCCAGCCATCCCATCCCGAGACCCAAGTTTACAGTCTCCTACCCCCTTCTTCCTGCTCTTTCTATACGTTTCTGTCCCTCTGTCCCTTCTATGCTCTTCACTTGCTCTCCCTTACCTCCTCCAGTCACCCTTGTTGTATCTGCCTCCCCCCTGCCCCTCACCCACTCCCCCAATCCATCTCTGCCCCCCCCATGCACATCACCCTCTCCCCCTATCCATCTCTGCCTTCCCCCTGCCCCTTACCAACTTTTCGTTCAACTCTGTGGGGCGCGCTCAGCTCTGAGTTTGTGCAGAGGCAAATGGGGATATCATGAGGACGATATGGTGTGGAGAACGTGCATCAGATCCGTTTAGGTCTGAGTTTCAATGTATTCATGCCTACCCCATACCCTCACCTCTCCCCCCCACACCACCTTCCCCTTCCCCCAAACTTCCATCGCCCCACACCTTCTGCCCTCACCTCAACTTCATGGCTGCCATAAGGGATGTCCCTATCAGACGTTTGAGACGTCTCCTGCATGGAGAATGAATTGGAATTGGAGATTAACCAGTTCAGTAACTTTTAACCCAGACCGATAAAATTGAACGATGTGTGTGCAGGGGGCAAGGGGGGCACAGTGGGCACATGGGTACCATTCCAAGAACAGGGTAGACAAAACTCACCAAATAGGGTACGTCGATATGTAGTGGTTCCTTCATTGGTGTTACGCAGTCTCTTGGTGGGCGGTTCCGGCGTGGATGGAGCAGTGACGGCAGTATCCCTAGGCCCCCCCTCCTCTGCAACATCGGACGACATACAATCCCAGTCCCTCATGATATCATCGACTCAGCTCCAATCCATCGGGCCTAAGATCCTGGAGCGTTTGCCTCGCCGGACTCGAGTAGCACGGCGTATCCTGATTTTGGTTGCCCGCACTTCCCTTTCCAAACCCTAGTTCCAATGCAGTACAGTTAGCCCAACTCGGGCTCTCATGCTTCCACGAAACAGTATGCGCTTTGGAGCATACTTGCATATCAGAGAATGAAAAGATTCATTCATCCAGTTGCAAGCCCCATGCACATATGGTCGCATCTCGTCTGGGCCACAGTTCTCGCTAAGCCACTGCCTGAAAGCAAGATGCGTTCGCGAACCATACTCGTATAATGCGCTCTCTTTGCCCCACTTATCTGTCACACATCTTGATCTCTCAGATCCCTGACTGCAGCGCAAATGATCACCTGCCCAATGATCAGCTGCAACTCCAATATCCTCGGCAACCTCCTCAGGTGTCATGGAACGGTTCGCTCTGAAGCGAGCGGCACACCGTGCCATCACATGATGAAAGTGTATGCTAAATCTTTGCGCCACTAAGACCTCCTCTAACACCCCGTCCGAACCCTCCCCCTCCTCATCTTGCAACGAGTCTCCACTCCTCTTCCGACTGCGTGGTTGCCTTTCCACCCACCGACGAGGTTGCTCTGGCGAATCGTTCTCCTCCCCAGCCGCGCCCGCCTGGTTGCCTGCATGTGCCACCATGAATGAGGAACACGAATTGATACTATTATATTCACAAACCATTTATGGTTAGTTCCAGTATTCAGCAAAAAAACACAGTAAAGAACGCAACCGAGGGGACTGCGTCGTAGATCGACCTCGTCGCTGATCTCATGCCTCGAGTCGCGTCGGTGTGGCACGATGCAGACGCATGCAGGAGAAGCAATGACGCGGCCGAGCACGGTGGCACCCCATGATCAGGATGGGGATCATAACCCCACAGCTACCCGACATCACTGTAATCTAGATTTGGACCGACATCCTCCTCCACAGACCCAATAGTGTCATCATCGAGAATATCGATGGCAACAAAACCATCATACTTCTTAGGTGCACGCATGCCACCAGCCATCGCTCCCCCCTGCCCCCCCCCCCCCCAAGGCTCTCATCTTGTTGGGACTGCATGTGGGTTCGAGTGAAGTGTACACTCTGGCCAAGTAGACGGAACATGCACAAAGGCTCTTGGACCTGGAGGACGGGAAGAGCAATACGCGGCCGTGCTGGATACCAAGAGGAGGCAGCTGGAGTGAGGGGACCCCCGGCGTCGCCATATCTACGGAGAGCCGGATCACTAGAAGAGAGATTGCCCGAAGGTGCAGCCGTGCGGGTATTGTAGGAAGCGGGGACAAAAGGCCGACGAGTGTTACTCTAGACGCGACGGGAAGCGGGAGCCGACAACTGAGGAGCTGAGAGCGGAGATAGAAAAGTTGAAGCTGCAGTTAGAGAAAGCTTACAAGGCGCAGGCGGGCACCCGGGCAATGTTGGCACTAGACGCGGAGGAAGAAATGATGGAAGCAACACTAGTGAGGGAGTTCTCCCTCATGGCGCACCCGAGGGAACGCAGTGATCTGGACCTGCGGCCGAGGCCAGAGTTGTCGGAGGTTACTAGCTCGTCCAACAATTGAACTAGGCGTCAGCCGCTACAAGAACCGTCTTCCATTCGGGAAATGCGCAGACACCCGAACGAGCGACTGGTGTGCCAAGCCTGAGTGTTGATCGTAGAGAAAAAAAGGATGACGGTGAGAAAAAAAGCCCTTATCGATACTAGCGCGCATCATGTCATCATCGAAAAGGGGCTAGCTAAGCTGCTGAAGTAAGACCTACTGGACCAGCTCGTGGAGAGGGGAATCCTCCTCATGACCGTGAGTGATGCATCTGGATAAAAATGCGGAGTGTCGCAGCCCGAAGACTACGATGT